ATATCCATTTCAAGCCCACCGACTCCCACAGCTACCTAGAATACACCTCCTCCCACCCACCTTCCTGCAAAAATGCTATCCCCTATTCCCAATTCCTTCGCCTCCGCCGCATCTGCTCCCAGGATGAGGCATTCCACTCCCGTACATCTCAGTTGTCCTCGTTTTTCAAGGACCGTAACTTCCCCTCCTCGGTGGTCGAGAACGCCCTCAACCGTGTCTCCCACATCTCCCGCACCTCATCCCTCACACCCCGTCCACGCAATAAAAACCAAAAAAGAATCCCCCTCGTCCTCACGTACCACCCCACCAACCTCCGGATCCAACGCATCATCCTCCGACACTTCCGCCATCTGCAATCCGACCCCACCACCAAAGACATCTTTCCCTCCCCACCCTTATCTGCTTTCCGGAGGGACAACTCTCTCCGTGACTCCCTTGTCCGCTCCACACTCCCCTCCAGCTCCACCACACCCGGCACTTTTCCCTGCAACCGCAGGAAGTGCTACACCTGCCCCCATACCTCCTCCCTCACCCCCATCCCAGGCCCCAAGAAGACTTTCCACATCAAGCAGATGTTCACCTGCACATCTGCCAATGTGGTATACTGCATCCGCTGTACCCGGTGTGGCTTCCTCTACATCGGGGAAACCAAGCGGAGACTCGGGGACCGCTTTGCAGAACACCTACGCTCGGTTCGCAACAAACAACTGCACCTCCCAGTCGCGAACCATTTCAACTCCCCCTCCCATTCCTCAGACGACATGTCCATCCTGGGCCTCCTGCAGTGCCACAACGATGCCACCCGAAGGTTGCAGGAACAGCAACTCATATTCCGCTTGGGAACCCTGCAGCCCAATGGTATCAATGTGGATTTCACAAGTTTCAAAATCTCCCCTCCCCCTACCGCATCCCAAAACCAGTCCAGCTCGTCCCTGCCTCCCTAACCTGTTCTTCCTCCCACCTATCCCCTCCTCCCACCTCAAGCCGCACCTCCATCTCCTACCGACCAACCTCATCCCGCCCCCTTGACCTGTCCGTCCTCCCTGGACTGACCTATCCCCTTCCTAACTCCCTACCTACACTCACCTTTACTGGCTCCATCCCCGCCTCTTCGACCTGTTTGTTTCCTCTCCACCTATCCTCTCCTCTATCCCTCTTCTATCCGCCTCCCACTCTCTCCCTATTTATTTCAAAACCCCCTTCGCCTCCCCCTTTTCTGATGAAGGGTCTAGGCTCGAAACGTCAGCCTCTCTGCTCCTATGATGCTGCTTGGCCTGCTGTGTTCATCCAGCCCTGCACCTTGTTGTCTCTCTTCTCATGACCTTCCGCCTGAAGATTTCCCTGCAGTTTTCACTGAACTGTGATAAAATCATACACTGTGCAAGAAGCCTATCAAGAATGTTACAGCATGGAATGAGGCCATTTGGCCCATCGCGCGTATGCTAACTCTTTGGTTGAACCATCCACTTAGCTCCAGACGTGTGCTCTCTCCGTTTAACCCAGCAACTCTTCTCCTGCTGAGAAGTATAAACTGTGTAGTACTTGAATCTTGCTGAGAGGAGAGGTATTGGTGAAGCTTCTTCCGCTCATCAGGACAAATGCAAGAATACCACAATATCCCAGTAATACGTACACTTGAAATTTGGTATTCTTGGGTTTCTCCGGATGAGTGCAAGATGAAAAGCTGCTGCAACACTTCTCTCTTTCCAATAAGATTTAAATGTATATGTAAGCATCTTTTGAAAGTCATTGAATCTGCTTTCATTTCCCTTCCATTGTAAATCATGTTAACTTGTCATTTATGAAATAAAATCTTCATGTTTCCTCCTCTTGGTTCTTTTTCACATCACCTTAAACCTGTCACCTCTGATTATTGACCATTAAAAACGCCTCCTAATTTTGAAGAACCGCTATTAAATCTCTGATGTCAGGTCTCACTCTGTAGCTGTGCTTTCACTGACCTGAAAGTCAACTCCTTTTGTACTGTGCGAACCATGGGTTGTGTGGATGCTACGGCCCTGGATCTGTGATAGACACACCTTTCACCGTGACCAAATGGAACGCTCCATTTTAGGCCTTTCCCACTTGCTGTCTCGGAGTGATGGACTCCCATCTGACATTACCAGTTCGGAATCTATACAGTTTCCCTTTCCATGAAGTGGGCAGCTGAGTTGACGCGCTAGTGACTGTCTTGCAGAAAAAGAAACTTGGATTGGGAGCCATTCCTGGACCTCCTTTCTCCAATAACCACCCCGCACGCCCCCCACCACACCCGCACGCCCCCCACCACACCCCCACCCCCCCCCACTACCTCACCCAATCAAACAGCTATTTCCCATGTTGCCATAGGCAGCGGGAAGAAGCAGTTTCTGAATCCACCACTGCCACGGTAGGAACTGAATCCCATGCTGTTGTCACTGATCTGACCCACGCTAGCTGTCCATCCAGCTAAGCCCTCCTCACTCCCTAGGGTGCTCCCCAGTTCCTCTGTCAAGATACACCCTCCCGTGTATGTTGTACACTAGAGCTATGCATAATGATGGTAGAGGCTGCAATGCCCTTTCCATTATGTGGCTGACCAGGAACCTGTCCAAGTCTTACTGCCTGCCATTGGTGTGTAGTGGAAGGATTTGCACATTGACCATCAACAGTTTTTGACTTTATGAGAAACGCACTCTCCTTGACCACAGGTGGGCCAGTGGTTAGCGCTACTGCCTCACGGCGCCAGGGACCCGGGTTTGATTCCAGCCTCGGGCGACTGACTGTGCGGAGTTTGCACGTTCTCCCCGTGTCTGCGTGGGTCTCCTCCGGGTGCTCCAGTTTCCTCCCACAGTCCAAAGATGTGTAGGGTAGGTGGATTGGCCATGCTAAATTGCCCGTAGTGTCCAGGGATGTGCCGGTTGGGTGGATTAGCCATGGGAAATCCGGGGTTATAGGGATAAGGTTGAGCAAGGTGGGATGCTCTTCTTAGGGGCGATGGGCCAAATGGCCTGCTTTAGGGATTCTATGATTCTAGCCATCAGATCCTGGAGTGGGGCTCAAACCCACAGCTCCTGGCTCAGTGGGAGAGGCACTACCCACTGCTTCACAAGACCCCGCCCCCCCCCCACCCCGACTCCAATATTTATGAAACTGACAACAAGAAACTTTCAAAGAGAATTTACAGACGAGTTCATGCCCTGTGTCAACTTTCTCCTGGGTGTTGTTCACAGCAGTGCTCAAGTTATTAATCATTAATTCCCGGAGTTTTCAAGGCAATCTGGAAGGTTGGCAGCCCCAGCTTGCTCACCATGACCAGTTAGAATGACATTTAGTGTTGGAGTGCCAGTGCCAACCGGATCTTTATTTTGGTCATGTTCATTTCTGGGCCTTCCGTGAGCACCTTTGACCCTCTCCTGTCTACCAGGGTTGGGGGCCACTTCCTGCCTAATCCCTTGTCCTGCCAACTTAGGACCATACCTGAGGGACAATGAACTCCAGATGGCACGCATTAGGAGTGGACAATTTGACCCTCTAGCCCCTCTGCCGTTCAGTGAAAGCGAGACTGCTCTGATTGTAGCCTCAGCTTCACTTTCCCCCATAACCCTCTATTACCTTGTCAGTCAAAAGTCTGTCAAACTCAGTCTTGAATATACGCTCATTGAATGTCTCTCCTTGATGCTGACTCCATTATAGAATACTCAGCACAAAACAGGCCCTTCGACCCACAAGGTTATGGCGAACATGACACCAAATTAAACTAATTCTTTCTGCCTGCCCTTGGTCCATATCCCTCCATTCCTTGCTTATTCATGTGCTTATCTAAAAGTCTCTTAAACACCCTCGTCATATCCGCCTCCTCCACCAATCCCACTGGCAGTGTGTTCCAGACTCCTGCCACTCTCTTGTGTAAAAACGTGCCCCCTCATATCTCTGTTGAACTTGCCCCCTCCCCACCTGAAATGCATGCCCCCTGGTATCAGACTCGTGAAAACTTGCTTATTATACTCAACGATTGGGTGGGGACAAAGGTTGCTGAATTCTGACCGTGTTTCCGGCTGCTTTCCTTTCCAGGGCGAGCCGGGCAGAGATGGTGTCGGATTGCCAGGTCCTCCTGGTCCTCCTGGAATCGCCTATAGTGGTGGCAGTGTAAGCTGTTCAGTCTTTGCTCTCTCTCTCTCTCTCTCAAACCTGAGGCCGATCACACCGACTGACAAAGAGCTCTCACCAGAGTTAGTTTGTCACGTTGCATAACCTGAAATTGAAGCCCAAATGGGTTGGAATTTACGCTATGTGATTCTATAAGTAGAAGTAATGGTCTGAGCACAGCAAGCTTACCACAAGGACCAATATGATGCTGAGCTGTTTTCTTTTATGTTGGTCGAAGAGGTAATATTGGCTGGGACATCAAGGTAAGCTCCCTGCCCTTCTGAAATATGCTGCAGTGGGAATGTTTACACCCACTTGTGGCAGTAGACCATGCCCCTGTTTAAGGTCTCATCGGAAAGATGGCAGCTGTGAGAATGCAGCCATCCTGCAGCACCACTCTCAAGTGCCAACTTTGGTTTGGGTGCTCTGAGTTCTGGCTCAGGACTTGAACCCACAACCTGCTGACTGAGAGATTCGCTACTGATCTCAGCTAACTCCATAACTGTAAGACTTAAGCTGAAACAGGCATGGAATCATGGACGATCAACGTGACTCCATGTTCATCAAATTGTTTGGTGTTTAATGGCCCTTCGTTTAACTCGTCTTGTTTTGGTTTATTGCCACCTTCTGTTATTGCTAACAGCAGTAATAAAAAGTCAGCATGGGTTTGTGAAAGGGGAATGATTCTTGACTGATTCACAGGAGTTGTTTGAATCTATAACTAGAAGAACAGATGAGGGAGAATAAGTGGATATGATGTATTTGCGTTTCAAGAAGGCTTTTGATAAGGTCGTACGTAAGAGGCCAAAATTAAAGCACTTGGGATTGAGGATAATACAATGGCTTGGACTGAGAGTTGGTTAATGGGTGATCTTCTGGCTGGCAGACAGTGACGAGTGGTATACTGCAGGGACCAGTGCTTGGGTTCTTGCATCCACGAGGGAACCAAATCTACTATTTCCAAGTTTGCTGATGACACAAAACTGTGTGGTTTGAAGAATTGTGAGGAAGATGCAAGGAGGCTTCAGGGCAATTTGTGTGATTGGGCAAACCCATGGCAGATGCGGCTAAATATGAAGTTATAGACTTCAGTGTGAAAAATAGGAAGGAAGAGTATTATTTAAATGATATATTGGGAAGTGTGCAGGTACGAAGGGTTCTGGCTGGTCTTGTACACCAGTCAATGAACATAAACAGACAGGCACAACAAGCAATTAGGAAGGCAAATGCGATATTAGACTACATTGCAAGTGGATTTGAATTCAGAAGTAGAAATGTCCTACTGCAGTTATACCAGGCCTCGATAAGAACACACCTGGAGTATTGCATGCAGTCTTGATCTTGAAAAGATATACTTGTCGTGGAGGGATTGCAGTGGAGGTTCACCAGGCTGATACAGGGGACGGCAGGACTGTCCTATGAGGAGAGATTGGTTTGACTGGGCCTGTATTCACTAGACTTTAGAAAGATGAAAGGGGACCTGATGGAAATGTATAAACCTGTAACAGACATCTGAATGGGTACATGGATAGGAAGGGTTTACATGGATATGGGCCAAATGCTGGCAAATGGAATTAGTTTAGTTTAGGATACCTGCTCAGTATGGACAAGATGGACTGAAGGTCTGTTTCCATGCTGTATGACTCTATAACTCTATGCCTGCACAAACTAAATGCAGGAAAGACGTTTTCCCTGTTTGGGGAATCTAGAATCAGGGACCTAGTCTCAGAAAACGGGGTAGGCCATTTAGGACTACAATGAGGAAATATTTTTTCCTGTCAGAGGTGATTGCTCTGTGGAATGCACTACCGCAAAAGGATGTGGAAGCCAGGTCTCTGAATATATTCAAGAAAGAAAGAGAGAATTTTTTTAGATATTAAAGGCATCAAAGGGGTACGTCAAGAGGATAATGGCATGAAGATAAAAGATCAGATGGCCATATTTAACAGTGGGATAGACTCGAAAGGCCAAACGACCTGCTCCTGCTCCTAGTTTCTATGTTTCTGGCCCTGCCACTGATCAGAATGGAGTTTCGTCCAATGGAGGAGGATGGGATGGTGGTGCCAGGAATCTAACCTGCCAAGCAGTGACTTAAATGTTCACACCCAGAGCCCCACATAGGCCGAGCACCCAGCCCTGAGTATCTGCAGGTTTGTCACAAATACTGATCCAGTTAGTCACCACAAGACAGCGTTGTCTGCACTTGATGCACAGCGGTTAGGTTATGAGGAGAAATTATACAAATTGGGCCTGTTTTCTCTCGAATTTGCAAGGTTAAAGGGTGATCTGACCGAAGATGTTAACCGGAAAACACAGGGTAGATAAAGATAAACTATTTCCACTGGTTGGGGCATAGTCTGAGAATTAGGGCCAGACTGTTCAGTAGAGATGTTAGGGAGCGCTTCCACTGACACAAAAGGTGGTAGAGGTTTGGAACTCTTTTCTGCAAATGGCAGTGGATGGTAGATCAGTTGTTAATTTTAGATCTGGGGTAGATAAATGCCTGTTAAACAAAGGTATTAAGGACATGGGCCAAAAGCAGGTATGTGGAGTTCGGCCACGAATCAGACATGATTTTGTTGAATGGCGGAACAGGCCCGAGGGGCTGAATGGCCTACTCCTGTTCCTGTGGGAGAGAAGCAGAGGGGAAGTAGCATGTGTCAGATTCCCTCAAGTTTGGCAGTGGAGAAGCTGCTAGTCAGGCTTTCCTCTGAGATCTGTATTGATGCGTCTTGTCTGGGTATAGTGGACACATCTTTCGTTGTGTTCAAGTTAAAATTGAAATCAATGTTGAATGTAACATAATTATTAATTCTGATTTTTCTTCAGGCAGCTGATGGTGTTACATTTGTGCCTGGTCCACAGGTAGGCAACCTTCTCTTTACATAATAGAGAAGAATGATAGACTTTGAGAGCTCAGCATTAAGCTGTCCTCATAACCATCATCACTGGACATTTCTATAGGGAAAAAAAAGCCCTGAATATACAAACTCCCTTTTGTGTGGTTTATGCTGTTTATTTAATCTCTTCTCGGCACATGTTATTAAACTGGAGAGTGTTCAGAAAAGATTTATCAGAATGTTGCCGGGAATGGACAGTTTGCATTCTATAAATAGCCTGGAAATTCAGGGACTTTTTTTGCTGGAGCGTAGGAGGTTGGGGAGGTAACATTTATTGAGGTTTATAAAATCATGAGGGACGTAGATAAGGTGAATAGCAAGGGGTCTTTTCCCTAGTGTCGGTGAGTTCAAAACTCGGGGGCATGTTTTTAAGGTGAGAGGGGAAAGATTTAAAAAGGACGTGAAGGGGCAACTTTTTCACACAAAGAGTGGTTCGTGTGTGGAATGAACTGCCAGAGAAAGTGGTCAATGCTGGTAAACAGTTTAAAAGGTATTCGAGAAAAGTTCATGAATGGGAAAGGTTTGGAGGGATATGGGCCAAATGCAGGCAGGTGGGACTAGTTTTGTTTGAGAACATGGTTAGTATGGACTGGTTGGACTGAAGAGTCTGTTTCTGTGCTGTAGACTCTATGACTTGATACGGACATCACTGGCAAGACAGCATTTATTGCCCCATCCCTAATTGCCCTGGAGAAGCTACTGGTGACCTGCCTTCTTGAACCCCAGCAGTCCTAATGGAGCAAGTCCATCCTCAGTGTTGGTAGGGAGGGTGGTGTGATGGTTGGAGGGGGACTTGCAGCCTGGGTGGTGTTCCCATCCATCCGCTACCCTTGTCCTTTTCAGATAGTAGATGTCACAGATTTGGAAGGTGCTACCAAAGTTGCAAGCTTTTATTTTTGCTTCCCAAGGTAACCAATTTCTTTCTCCCTTTCAGGGTCCAAGGGGCATTCCTGGCCAAGCTGGATTGCCAGTAAGAAAAGTCTAGTTGCATTGTAATATTGTGCATGTTTTTGCTGAGTTAAAGGTACATGGGACAGCAGACACAAATCTCAAATGTGGCCAAAATAATCCATAGTCATTGGACACTGAGGTGGGTTGGCACATGTATGGCTCACCCAGGCACACTATTGAGATGCCCATGCTGGGATCAAAGTGGATCTGGATCAAAGTGCCAACTAGCAGGCACGTAGAAACCCTACAATGTAGAAACAGGCCTTTTGGCCCAACAAGTCCACACTGACCCTCAGAGCATCCCACCCAGACCCATCCCCCTGTAACCCACCTTATATACACATCCCTGAACACTACGGGCAATTTAGCATGGCCAATCCACCTAGCCTGCACATCTTTGGACAAACAGCGGTTTGGCTATTCGGGCGATCTCTGCCGTTCGATGAGCTCATTAGACAATCTGCCACACCCTGCCTTTCCTCCATTATTCTTGACTTCTCCGGTGGGATCGAAGAGTATGCGGAACTCTGGTCGCATCTCTCACAGGCATTGGCTCCTCTGACCATGCTGCGCTGGAACGTTGTTGGCCTTGACGCGGAGATTTGAACCTGTGACCTCGGTGGCTCAGTGCAGCCAAGGCTGACAGCAGCAGATGCAAACCAGAGTCCCACTGAGCTGTGGCAGATCACAGTGAGACTCTCACTGCAGTTTGACAGTCCACTGCGTTAGAAATGCCACCAGTTATTTTACCTCTGATATTGAACTGGGTCATTTAAGGACAACATCGCAGCCTTAGAATTATTTTCGTCAGTTGTTTCTCTTCAAAAGGGTCTGACGTCTGTGTTTGTGTGTGTGTGTGTCTGTCTGTGTGTGCGTGTGTGTGTGTGTGTGTGTGCGCGCGTGTGTGCGTGTGTATCTGTGTGTGTGTGTCTGTGTGTGTGTGTTTGTGTGTGCCTGTGTGTGTTGAGTGTGTGTGTGTTGAGTGTGGGTGTGTGTGTGTGTGTGTGTCTGTTTGTGTGTGTGTGTTTATGGGTGTGGGTGTGTGTGTGTGTTTGTGTGTGTGTGTTTGTGTGAGTGTGTGTGTGTGTGTGAGTGAGGTGACTGTGTGTG